TGGAAAAACCCACCTGGTTCACTAATGTCCTGAAGGGAAGGAAATCTGGACAGGCCTACATGTGACTGCAGACCCACAGCAATGTGGTTGACCCTCTGAAATGGCCTAGCAAGCCATTTAGTTGTACCAATCGCTACAAAGTGTCAAAGAAATGAAACCAGACAGATCACCTGGCATCGACCTAGGCACCAGAAAAGACACTGCAAAGTCCTCCTTACTAACATCTGGGGGCTAGTGCCAAAATTGGGAGAGCTGTCTCACAGACCAGTCAAGCATTAGCCTGATATAATCATACTCACGGAATCATTACATACAGGCAATGTCCCAGATACCACCATCACCATTCTTGGATATGTCCTGTCCCACTGGCAGGACAGAACCGGCAGAGGCGTTAGTATAGTGGTATATAGTCAAGATGAAGTTGCCTTAGGAATACTCAATATTGAGTCTAAACCCATGAAGTCTCATGGCTTCAGGTTAAACATGGACAAGAATGAATCGGTACTCCTCCATGTTGACCAACACTTGGAGTAAGGACTAAGGAAAACAAGGGCACAAAATGTACTCTGAATGGAGGATTTCAATATCCACCACCAAGAGTGGCTCAGCAGCAGTACTACTGCTGGTTGAGCTGGTTGGGACCGAAAGGATATCGCTGTTAGGCTGGGTCTGCAGCAGGTGGTGAGGGAACAAACAAGAGGGAAACATGTACTGACCTCATCCTTACCAATCTGCTGGCTGCAAATGCATCTGTCCATGATGGTATCAGTAAGAGTGACCATTGCACAGTCATTCTGGAGACGAAGTCCCACTTCACATTGAGAATAACCCCCATCGTATTGTGTGGCACAGACTTCAAACAGATCTAGCAATTCAAAACTGGGCATCCATGAGGCACTGTGGGCCATCAACAGCAGCAGAATTGTACTCCAGCACAATCTGTAACCTCATGAATCGGCATTTTCCCCACTCAACCATTACCATCAAGCCAGGGGATCAACTGGTTCAGTGAAGAGTGCAGGAGGGAAAGCCAGGAGCAGCACCTGGGCATATCTGAAGATGAGGTGTCAAACAGGACTAGTTGCATGCCAAACAACATAAGCAACAATGAGAGTCAGAGCAAAGCAATCTCACAACCAATGGATCAGATCTAAGCACTGCAGTCCTGCCACATCCAATCGTGAATGGTGGCAATTAAACAACTCACTGGAGGAAATATCCACAAATATCCCCATCCTCAATGATGGAAGAGTCCAGCACATCAGTGCAAAAGATAAAGCTGAAGCATTCGCAGCAATCTTTAGCCAAAACTGCTGAGTGAATGCTCCATCTCGGCCTCCTCCAGTGGTCCCCAGCATTACAGATACTAGTCTTCAGCCAATTCAATTTGATCCATGTGATATTAAGAAACAGCTGGGGACACTGGATACTGCAAATGCTACAAACCCTGACAACATTCTGGCAATAGTACCAAAGACTTGTGCTCCAGAACTTGCCACTCCCCTAACCAAGCTCTTCAGTACAGTTACAATACTGGTATCTGCCCAACAATGTGGAAAATTGCCCAAGTATGTCCTGTACATAAAAAGCAGGACAAATCCAAACCAGCCAATTACCATCCCATCAGTCTACTTTCAATCATTAGTAACGTGATGGAAGGTGTAATCAATTGTGCACTCAAGCAGTTCAGGAGTGCCCAGTTTGGCTTCTGCCAGGGCCATTCTGCTCCTGACCTCATTACAGCCTTGGCTCAAACATGGACAAAAGAGCTGAATTCCAGAGGTGAGGTGAGAGTGACAGCCCATGATATCAAGGCCGCATTCAACAGAGCATGGCATCGAGGAGCCCTGCAAAAATGGAATCAATGGATATCTTGGGCAAACTTTCCCCTGGTTAAAGTCATACCTGGCACACAGGAAGATGGTTGCGGTAGTTGGAGGTCAGTCATCTCAGCTACAGGACATCTCTGCAAGAGTTCCTCAAGGGTAGTGTCCTAGGCCCAACCATCTTCAGCTGCTTCATCAATGACCTTCCCTCCATCATAATGTCAGAAGTGGGGATGTTCACTGATATTTGCACAACATTCAGCACTATTCATGACTCCTTAGAACCTGAAGCAGTCCATGCTCAAATACAACAAGATCTTGACAATATCCAGGCTTAGGCTGACAAGTGGCAATAAACATTCACAACACATGAATGCCAGGCTATGACCATCACCATAATGAGACAATCTAACTAAACCCCTTTGACATTCAATGGTGTTAACAATCTCTGAATCCCCCACTATTAACATCCTGGGGGTTACCATTGACCAGAAACTCAACTGGATGCACCACATAAACACAGTGTCTACAACAGCAGGTCAGAGGCTAGGAATACTGCAGCAAGTAGTTCACCCAGAGAGAGTTAGGCCCCTTAAAGATCAAAGAGGTCATCCTTGTGTTCAACCTCAGGAGATGGGAGAGATAGTAAATGAATATTTCACGTGAGTTTATACTGTGGAGAAAGAAATGGAAGCTAGAGAACTCAGGGAAATAAATACTGATGTTTTGAAAACAATCCACATTACAGAAGACGAAGTGCTGGAGGTCCGAGAAAATATAAAGATGGATAACTGGCTCTGGCTCCTGATCTAGTGTATCCCAGGATGTTGTGGGAAGTTAGAAAGGAAATTGCAGGGCCCCTTTCAGAAATATTTGTATCATCTATAACTACAGGTGAGCTGCCAGACAACTGGAGAGTGGCTAATGTTGTGCGTTTGTTTAAGAAGGGATGTAAGGAAAAGTCTAGGAACTACAGACCTGTGAGTGTGACTTCCGTGGTAGGTAAGTTGTTGTAAATGATTCTGAAAGAGAGGATTTATGTGCATTTGAAGAGGCAAGTGCGAGGGAAGTCGTGTCTCACAAACTTGATTCAGTTTTTTGAGAAATTAATCAAGACGATTGATTGGAGCAGAGCGGTAGATGTTATTTACTTGGACTTTACTAAAGCCTTTGAAAGGTTCTGCATGATAGACTATTTAGTAAAGTTAGCCGATATGGTATTCATGGTGAGCTTGCCAATTGGATATAAAATTTGTTTAACGGCAGTAGTCAGAGAGTGGTATTGGAGGGTTGTTTTTTGGACTGGAGGCCTGTTACCAGCAGTGTTCCACAGGGATTGGTGCTGGGTCCACTTTTGTTTGTCATTAATATAAATGATCTAAATAAGAATATTAAAGGCATGGTTTAGTAAGTTTGCAGATGACACCAAAATTGGTGGGATAGTGGACAATGAAGAAGGTCATCTAAGATTATAAGGACATCTTGATCAATTGAGTCAATGGGCTGAAGAGTGGCAGAAGGTGTTTAATACAGAAAACTGCGAGGTATTGCATTTTGTTAAAAAACGAAGGTAGGACTTACACAATTAGAAGTAGGGCCTTGGGTAATGTTGTAGAACAGAGAGCCTTGAGATTCAGGTAAATAATTCTTTGAAGTTCACGTCATGTGTGAACAGGGCAGTTAGGAAGGAGATAAGCTAACTTTCATTGATCAAACATTTGAGTATAGGAGTTAGGGCGTCATGTTGAGATTGTACAGGACATTAGTGAGTACTGTGTCCAGTTCTAGTCGTCCTGGTATAGGAAAGATATTATTAAGCTGGAGAGCGTCTTGTGGCTTAGTCCAGGACTAGGAGGCGCTTTTTTAAAATTAGGGATTGCCCTTTTAAGACAGCTGAGGAGAATTGTTTGTAGACAAATTGAGCTACTTTTTACGCCTCAGAAGACAGTGGAGGTGGGGTAATTAAATATTTTTAAATCAGAGAGTTGTAGGCAAAGGAATCAGGGGTTACTCTTTGTAGATGAGATTGGTTGGTGTTCTGAATTTCACAATCGGTCATGATTTTATTGAATGGCAGGGTAAACTTGACAAGCTGAATGGTTTAGTTTTGCCCCTAGTTTGTATGTTTGTACTTTTGTAAGGGACAGTAACAAGAGGAACAAACGTATGGTGATTTGCAGAAGAACGAGAAGTGACTTGAAAAAAATTACACAGCAAGTGGCTGTGATCTGGATAGTGCGAAGGTGGTGAAAGCAGATTCAGTACTAACTTTCAAAGTAACTACTTGAAAGAAAAGCAAAGTCAAAGGTGCATGGGGGAAAGAGGAAGGAAATGGGATTAGTTGGATACACTTAAAATTCAGACAGCACAAAAACAGTGGACTGAATGGCCTCATTCCATGTTCATTATTCCAGAACTGATCAATGAATTATAATCTGTAATGCAAAATGACCAAACTTACCTCCCTCCACCCACCCAGACACTCTCATATATTCCCAGCCCCCAGCAACCCACTTCCCACCAATCTCACAAATTCTCCCAACATCCACACCTCTCCAACCAAACCACAGATTACCATGTACAGCCCAAATCACAACCCCTCAGCCACCACACTCCCCACACTCCCACCATTGTCCCCCACTACAACTACTACTACTACCACCATTGCCCCACTCCATCACTCCATCACTATCCAACCCACAGCCCCACCAATCCCAAAACCCTCCAGCATTCCACTAATCTCACCCACCAATTACCCTACATGCTGCCACCCCAATGCACTCCGTAACTTCCTCCTCCAACTTCAGTATGCCCCTCATACCCAACGCAACCAGACACACTACAACCCCCTCAAACCCTATACTCTATCACAACGCCTGAAACTCTGCTCCTTAACACACACCCCTGCAACCCATCCCCATTCCCCCACAAACTAACTCTCAGTTCAGGATACTGCAGCTAATAATCCACCCTCTAGTCATCAAAAATATAGGGCACCAGATTGTGCAATTACCAACCTGAACCATGAAAAATAATCTTTCATGCTAACCTTCCACCATATTCATGACCAGTGTTAATAATTATTCAACTTGCTGCTCTTCTCAGTTGGCAACTTAACCTATCCTGTTTCTCAGTATTGCTTTTATCTACTCTTTTGTTTTTTTTTAAACTTACGAGACAAATTTGCCAACTTCTACTTGCAATACAGGATCCTGCAGTTGAAGCTCTAGGATTAACTCTTCTGGATGATGTGCTGCTCCAGGTTTAGCAGGCTGTGGAGAATAGATACGCAGAATTCCCTTATAACCGCCAACAATAATTTTGTCTGGAAACAGCAGAAAATAATCAATTTAATGACATTGTTTATTTGAATAGATCATGAAGCATAAACACATCTGCAAATAATTCTATGATCAGAAGTAATATTAACTTGCAAAATCAATGAAGTTTTGACCGGGGATTTACAGGGTACAATTTATCCAAGATGAGGCAATGTAAAATCACAGAGCATCCTGTAGATTGAAATGATGATGTGAAATGTTGCAGAGGTTTCACATACTGCTTAACACAAAAGTGTAACCCAATCTTGGTGTACAGTTCCCCTAATTTGCTGGTTGTTAGGGCATTAAGCTCAAGTGGTTGTTTCATTTTTTTTATTTCATCTAAATAGGTGATTTCAGAAATCAAAAGTGATGTCACTTATCCAGATGCACCATTCACCTATCCTTTCTCCAGGTCATTAGGAGCATCATAGCACAACATATCTTTTCCTTGAATTGTCTAGATTAAATATGATCTGGTTGCAAATTTACTGTGCTATGATACAGCATCTACAGTTTGCTCCACTCATCACAAACAAAATTAGAAAGGAAGGTTTGGAGCATGACGGAGAAATTACTGGATGCAATGACAACTTAAAGACCTTTTGTAAAACAAACACTGATGACAAATCCTATAATTGATAAATATCAAAATTAAGGAATACATTTTTTTAGGCTGCCTAACTAAATTACTTCATTAAACCAGAGGAAGCAATATTGTTGGTCTCAATCATACTTACCATTTCCACTGTTGTCAACATCTGCCACGCATAAGCATCCTTGATCAAATTCCTCCTGCTCTCCTACAACTGTGGACCACCAGTCTCGAGCTTTAAACAAAGACATCTTCCTTCAACCTGAAACTACCAAAATAATGAAATGCTCAGACTGCTGAGACACAATGTTGTCTTTACAACAGTCTCAGGAAGATCATAGAATTTAAATTTTAGTACTCAAGGTAAAGACCCTCTCCCGATTTGCTCACCCTGCATCAGTTTTCAGCAACCTCAAATGAAAGTACAAAATACCCTACATTCTATGCCAAACTCAGAAGCGCTGTCCAAAGAGACTATTGCAATAACATAACATTGTTACCAAACAGACTCTTCCATCACCATCACTGGGTATGCCATGCTCCAGGTATATTGTCAGGAAGGAATGCCCTATGAGTCCTCAACACCTACTCCAGACCCCAAGCAGTCTCATAGCATCAAATTAAATATGGCAAAGACACCTCTTGCTGACTACTATCTCCCATTACTTGATGAATCACACACCTCTTGAAGAGGCACAAAGAGTAGAATGGGCATAAAAAGTACTTTGGGCGTTGGATTTTAATGTCCGTTAACACAGGTGGCTTGGAAACCACTACTCACCAAACTAATCTATAGGACTTATCTGCCAAACTGGGTCTGTAGAAATTGTCAAGGGGATCAAGAGTGAACAATCTATTGGCCTAGGTCTCACCAAGCTACCTGTCACAAATACTTGACATTATTGCTTGGCGATCTGGTGAAGTAAAAGTCCTGCCTTCACAGAAGATATCTTTCATCCTCCTGTTCTGTGTCAGCATCTATGTCAATTGGGACATGAAGGGTCTGCAAACCCCTCCAATTCCAGTTTACCAAGGGGAAAATGGATGTGAAGGTATAAAACAAAATTGTTAATATAATGCATGCTCAAATAAGCTTTGTGTGTCTTTTCCACTCACGCCAGGATGAATACGTTCTAGTTTTTTTTATTAAATTAATTCATGGGATGTGAGTTTTGCTTTTATTGCATACTCCTAATTGGCTGCACAAGCTGGTGGTGAGCTGCTGCAGTCCTTGGGATGTAGGGATAGCCACAGTGCTGCTAGGAATGGAGTTCCAGGATTTTGATTCAATAACAATGAAGGCATGAAACTATACTGGTAGGTCAGGATAGTTTGGCTTGGAGGAGAATTGCAGATGGTGCTCCCATGTACCTGTTGTCCTTATCCAGCTAGGTGGTAAAGGTTGCAGGTTTGGAAGGTGCATTTGGAGGAGCCTTAGTGAGTTACTGCATCTTACAGAAGGTACACACTGCTGGCACATTTTCAGTGGGGGAAGGAATAAATGTTGAAGGTGGTGGATTGGGTGCCAACCAAGATGGCTGCTTTATCCTTGATGGTGTTGAATCTCTTGAATATTGTTGAAGTTGCACTCATCCAGGGAAGTGAACAACATTCCATCACAATCCTGACTTGTTTTGTAGATGGTAAACAGACAGTGAATTACTTGCCACAAATTTCAAGCACCTGACTTGTCCAATTCAATTTCTGATCAATAATCACCCCAGGAAGCTGATAGCGGGGAATTCCATGATATCAACACCATTAAACATCAATGGGCAATGGTTGGATTCAGTCCCGTTGAAGATGGTCATTGCTTGGCACTCGTGTGGCATGATTGATACTTGATGTGTGAAGTGATTCATTTTGGAAGGTCAAATTTAAATGCAGAATACAGGGTTAATGGCAGGATTATTGGCAGTGTGGAAGAACAAGGGGATCTTGGGGTCCACGTCCATAGATCCCTCAAAGTTGCCACCCAAGTTGATAGGGTTATAAAGAAGGCGTAAGGTGTGTTGGCTTTCATTGGCAGGGGAATTGAGTTTAAGAGCTGCAAAGTTATGCTACAGTTCTATAAAATCCTGGTTAGACCACACTTGGAATATTGTGTTCAGTTCTGGTCGCCTCGTTACAGGAAGGATGTGGAAGCTTTACAGAGGGTGCAGAGGAGATTTACCAGGATGCTGCCTGGACTGGAGGGCAGGTCTTATGAGGAAAGGTTGAGGGAGCTTTTTTCATTGCAGCGAAGAAGGATGAGAGGTGACTTGATAGAGGTGTACAAGATGATGAGAGGCACAGATAGAATGGATAGCCAGAGACTTTTTCCCAGGGCCGAAGTGACTATTACGAGGGGACATAATTTTAAGGTGATTGGAGGAAGGTATAGGGGAGATGTCAGAGGTAGGTTCTTTACACAGAGAGTGGTGGGTGCGTGGAATGCACTGCTGGCGGTGGTAGTGGAGTCAGATACATTAGGGAATTATAGCGACTCTTGGGTAGGCACATGGATGATAGTAAAATGTAGGGTATGTAGGGTGGTTTGATCTTAGAGTAAGATAATAGGCCAGCACAACATCGTGGGCCGAAGGGTCTGTATTGTGCTGTACTGTTCTATGTTCTGTGTTCTATTGTTGTGTATGGACACAGGCTGCTTCAAGTATCTCAGGAGTCGCGAATGGTGCTGAACATTATAAATTGTCATCTAACATTCCCACTTCTGACTTGATGATGGAAGGGAGGTCATTGATTAAGCTGCTGAACATGGTTGGACACAAGACATTATCCTTGCAGTGAGACAACAAGGTGCAGGGCTGGATGAATACAGCAGGCCAAGCAGCATCATAGGAGCAGATGGGCTGATGTTTCAGGCCTAGACCCTTCATCAGAAAAGGGGGAGGGGAGATTTTGACCCTTGCAGTGATGCCCTCAGACTGCTTGGAATTAATCAACCTTTGTTGTTTTCCTCATCAGCGGGTGACTTGTTCTTCCAATAATTCGCTCGATGTATTTAGGTTGCTGTTTCTCCACATTAGCGAGACATTACCAAGAGTTTTAAGGGGCTTTAAACTCATTGCCGCATGTTTACAAAATGTTACAGGTTGTGACATAACTATTTAATCCCCTCAATAAACATCCAAATCACTGTACGGGTTAGAAGAGATAACCTTCTAGACCTAAATGATGCTGAAAATGACAACAAATACACAGGAGTTGTGTTTATCCGTTCGGATAAAGCGATCGACGTGGAGCCTAAATCAGCTTTGCAGTCTCAGCCTGAAGATGAAACTGCAGCGGGTCTTCTTGGATCGTTTCGAATTAGTGTGGAACGCTCCCCCGACACATGACAGTAGGCAATGCTCATGAAACCTGTTTCACAGCCTCATTTCATTCAGCTGATATTAGGGAATATTTGAAACTCTTCTATGACTCGGGGATGAAGGACCCAAGAGCGAGGGGAACTCAATGACCTGCACCCGGGTTGGACTGGCCTCGTTCCACACTCACACTCACACACAAGACACTCGCGGGCCATCGCTGCCTCCTGCCAGGGATGTTAGGGGGTGGAAATAGATCTGGTTGGAGTTAGGGGAAGCGGGATGGCGTCTAGTTGGGGTGGGAGGTGGAACTGGGTTGGGGACGGAAGGTGCAGCCTGTTCCACAGAAAAGACGTTCTCAGTGGAGAGGAGTCCTGATCCAGAGGGAAGGGGATGGGGTCCAGAGGTTTGTGGGGAACGGGAGGGCAAGGAGACTGGGTTTGTCAGCCTGGTCCGAGACGAGAGCTTTCGGTGCCGGAGGGAGGGAGACGGAGATGACAGGGTCGCTAAGGCCCGAGGATCAGTCACTCACCCGCTACCCGCTCCGCCGTTGTCATAGCGCCGCCGCGAGAGACGCACTCACACTGGCGGAGGGACGGAAGTTCCGGGCACCTGGCAGCAAGGTCTGATGGGAATTGTAGTTCTTTGCTGCCGAGTTTCTGCAAAACATCCTTAAGGCATTTTTCTGAAGAAGGCTCCAGACCCGAAACGTCAGCCTTCCTGCTCCTCTGATGCTGCCTGGCCTGCTGTGTTCATCCAGCTCTACACTGTGTTATCCTGAAGGCACTTCACGTCAGCTCTGATGAAGAGTCATCTAGACTCTAAACTTTAGCTTGCTCTCTCTCTCAATAGATACTGCTTGACCTGCTGTGATCTCCAGCATTTATTCTTTTCAGTTAAGACACCATCCATTCTCTTCCATGCATGTAGTCATAGAGACATCATAAACACACAAATGGCTGATTCCATACGTTAAAATGGTGATACTGTGTCACCCCAGAAATCTCATACTTATTACAGTCATTCTGGTGCTGAACACCATTTAGAGGAAGGGATGATTTTATCTGCAAACCATCCATTTTGATAGAGCCACCTGTCAGTTTTAATGCTAAAAAGTGTGTTCGTGGTCCAGCCAATGTGCAAAATCGGAGCTTGTGGAGAAAGCATTTGCAGAAACCATTCTTTATTATTTCTAACAGCAATTTGTTTTAATTTGCCTAGTTAAATATCAATTACTTATGAAGCATAAATTGCTTAAAGCTAATCATAATATAAACTTAAATTATTGATTAAATAATGAAACAATAAAAACCCTAAAATCATTACAGCACAGAAGCAAAGTAGAAACATTTGAGTAGGAAATAGTTAATAAAGCAAATAGGATCATGGGCTTTAGAAACACAAGCATCAGTACTACTTAGCCTTAACTAGAGTTCTGGTGTTACTTCCAGATACCACATTTCAGCAGGGATGCAAAGGCATTGGAGACTGAATGGCTCCAGTGATGAAGAGCTTCAGCTGTGTGGATAAATTGGAGAAGGTGGCTATGTCTCATTTAGTGAAGGTTGAAAGGAGATGTGATAGGCATGTGCCAAATCATGGGATAACAAGGTGTAGAGCTGGATGAACACAGCAGGAAATCATGTTAGGTCTGATAAGAATGAACCGTTTCTATTAGTGCAAGGTTTGATAACCAAATGACGTCCATGTAAAAATAGTGGCAAAATAAACAGATATAACATGCTGAAATAGCAAGGTGTAGAGCTGGATGAACACAGCAGGCCAAGCAGCATCATAGGAGCAGGAAGGCTGACGTTTCGGGCCTAGACCCTTC